TTGATTCCTCGTAAAATGCTACTTGCTTCCCATAACTGATCATATGACCAAGCTCCCTGGGAAGTAAACAGTATCAAGAAAAAAATGTAAACAATAAGCTAACTCCAAGGGAAGCAAGTGGATTACCATATGGGTGGCTCAGTTTTCAAACACTTTAGTTTAATACAAGCTGATTTCAGAGAACATCCCTCTCCAATCAAATTCAGTTTAAATTCTGTGCTGGTCAGAAGGTTTCAAATCATTTGACAACTTTTGATTTGGACTTAGAACAAAGAACAAAGAAGATGACAGCACAGGAACAGGCCTTTCGGCCCTCCAAGCCTGCACCAACATGCTGCCTGTCACAAATAAAACCCCCTACCCTTCCGGGGACTGTATCCTCTATTCCCATCCTATTTATATATTTGTCAAGATGCCCTTTAAAAGTCACTACAGTATCTGCTTCCACTACCTCCCCTGGCAGCGAGTTCCAGGCACCCACAATCCTCTGTGTAAAAACCTGTCTCGTACATCACCTTTACACCTTGCCCCTCGCACCTTAAACCCATGGCCCCTGGTTACTGACTCTTCCACCCTGGCAAAAAGCTTCTGACTGTCCAGTCTGTCCATGCCCTTCATAATCTTGTAGGCCTCCATCAGGTCACCTCTCAATCTTCATCGTTCCAATGAGAACAACCCAAGTTTCTCTAACCTCTCCTCATAACTAATGCCCTCCACATCAGGCGACATCCTGGCAAGTCTTTTCTGTACCCTCTCCAAAGCCAGCATATCCTTTTGGTGGTGTGGCGACCAGAACTGAACACAGTATTCCAAATGCGGCCTAACTAAGGTTCTATAAAGCTGCAACATTACCTGCCAATTTTTAAAACTCAATGCTCCGGCCGACGAAGGCAAGCATGCCTTGTTGGCTACCCTCTCCGCCTGCATTGCCACTTTAAATGACCTATATTTGTAACATAAATTGGCAACAGATGCTGTCAGGGAAGAGCACCACAGAAATGTGGAGATTGTTTAAGGAATGCATACTGCATGTGCTCGATATGTTTGTCCCTAGCAGGCAGAGAAGATGCGTCAAGTGAGCGAGCCTTGGTTCTCAAGACAGAGGTCGAACAACTGGTTAAGAGGAAGAAGGAGGCTTATGTAAGGTTTAGGAAAAGAGGAAAGGAAAAGGCTCTAGAGGGATACAAATTAGCCAGGAAGGAGCTGAAGAAACGGCTTAGGAGAACTATAAGGGGCATGAGAAAACCTTGGCAGATAGGATCAAGGAAAACTCCAAGGCTGTTTACACGTATGTGCAGAACAAGGGAATGACCAGAGAAAAGGGTAGGGCCGATCAAGGATTGTAAAGGGAATTTGTGCACAGAGCCTAAAGAGATAGGAGAGGTCCTTAATGAATACTTTTCTTCAGTATTCACAACCGAGAGGGACCTAGTTGTAGAGGAGTGTGTTGTGAAACAGGCAGGTAGGCTAGAGGAGGTTGATGTTAGTAAAGAAGATGTGCTAGGAATTCTGAGGAAGTTGAAGATAGATAAATCCCCCTGGCCTGATGGAATTTATCCAAGGATTCTATGGGAAGCGAGGGACAAGATCGCAGGGCCTTCGGCGATGATCTTTCGTCCTCACTGTCCACGGGTATAGTGCCAGAAGATTGGAGAGAGGCCAACGTCATTCCCTTGTTCAAAGAAGGGAATAGGGATAACCCCAGAAATTACAGGCCAGTTAGTCTTACGTCAGTGGTGGGCAAGTTATTGGAAAGGGCTCTGAGAGACAGGATTTATGATCACTTGGAAAGGCACTGTTTGATTCGTGATAGTCAGCATGGATTTGAGGGGTAGATCATGCCTCACAAACCTTATTGAATTCTTTGAAGAGGTGACCAAACACGTGGATGAAGGTGGAGCAGTGGATGTGGTACACATGGATTTAAGTAAGGCGTTTGATAAGGTTCCCTGTGGTAGGCTCATGCAGAAGGTAAGGAGGCATGGGATAGGGGGAAAAGTGGCAGATTGGATTCAGAATTGGCTGACCCTTAGAAGACAAAGGGTGGTAGTGGACGGAAAATATTCAACATGGTGCTCAGTTATGAGTGGTGTACCACAAGGATCTGTTCTGGGTCCTCTTCTATTTGTGATTTTTGTCAATGATTTGAATGAAGGAGTGGAAGGGTGAATTAGCAAGTTCGCGGACGATACGAAGGTGGGTCACGTTGTGGACAGTGCGGAGGGCTGTTCTA